GGCTCGATGATTATTTTTCTGATAGTATAGTTAGGCTTTTTAGCCTTGTAAAACATTAGCTGTAAGATTTGAGAGCATTTATTTCAACATAAATTTATTTTGTTTAGTTGATTTTATTGTAATTTTAGTGTTTTCAAGTGTAATAAAATTAACTTCATTTATAAATTTTTTTATTTTAGTATTTGTAATGTTATTCAAGTTTTAAATCTTTAATAAGTCCATCATTTCAACTAATATATTTTGATTTTAAAATTTCAAGTTAAGTTATACTTAAATTATTAATCAATTTTCACATTAAAAATAAATTAGATTTATGAATATTTTAACTCAATTAATATAATTTAATAAAATCAAGTTCAATAAGATAATATTTAAATTTAATTTAGTGATTATAAATAAAATTTATAATATAAGAAATATAAATAATATAAATAATTGGAATTAATATAAAAACCAAATTTAAAATATACAAATTATAATTAATATAAAAACTAAATTTCAAAAAGTAATCATATTAATTTAATTATCATAAATTTATTATAAATTTAAAATAACATAATTATATTAATTGTAACTTTACAAGTCAGGATAATATCATATCACTTTAACAACATGTCAGATCATTTACAGGTTGAGTCAATTATATGTCAGATTCATAACAAGTCAGATTGAAAACAGGTCGGGTAATACCAATTATTTACCAGATCAATCTCGAGTTCGGGTTCATATCAGTCGGATGCATTTCGGGTATCATATTTTGGTTCAATTCGGGTTCAGGACGTTCTCAGGTCGGATGCATGTCGAGTTCAGATCCACAATTTCCAGGTCCAACTTGAGTTTAGGTCAACACCAGTTCCGAATCGAGTCGGTTTCGAATCGCCACAGAGATCAAAAACAGTTTTAACTCTTGTCGTTTCAGTCAGTTTTACAGGTCGGTCAGTATTTTACACCCCTAGCTTTCACCAAATCCTCCATTTTTCTCTTAGGTGACGTTTGGTTCGCTGGAATCCCTTGAAATTAGGGGGAATTGGAATCCAATTCCACCACTTTCCCATGTTTGGTTCAAGTTTTCAAAGGGGGAATTAGAATACAATTCCATCACGGGAGGGAAAGTAAATTTCATCCATAACATGATGGAATTGAAATCCTTTGGAGGAGGGAATGTGAAATTTGACCATACTACCCTCATCAATCTTTTGGTATTAGGTTAGATTTTTAAAAAAAAAATCAGGATTAGGTCAATTTTTTTAAAAAAAAATCGGGTTCGGGTCGGGTCGGGTTTTTTTAAGTTTGATATTCAGGTCTGGTCAGGTTCGGGTTTAGGGTGAAAAATACCCGACCCGACCCAAAAAAAATAAATTTACCTTATATATTTAGGAATAATTACAATAATACCCCCTCTCTATATACTTTTTTTTTTTCAATTAAGTCATTGTTTTTATGAATAAAATATTTTTTTATTATTTCGGGCCAGGTCGGGTTTCTAATTCATATATTCGGATTGGGTCGGGTGAAACTTTATTTTGATCGGGTCGGGTCTCTGGTGGAGGTTCCCTTGTTATCGGGTCGAGTCGGTGGACCAAAAACCCGACCTATGACCATCTCTAATTAGGATGATTTTAACTTATGATGTTTATTAGTATGATTTTTATAATTTATTGCAATGAATAATCAATTAATAAAATGAAAATTTAATATTTTTAAAATTTTTATAATATATTGCTACATGTAAGTTATAAAACAAACTAAAATTAAGCAAAAAAAAAAATAAGAAGGACAATTCTATCATTTTACATTACTGAAATCAAATTCATCTGACATGTCTGCGAACCAAACAGAATATGGAATTGAATTCCAATTTAATCTCCTGCCAACCAAACAGATTTCAGATTCAGATTATAATTCTATCATATTCCAATTCTTTCACAGATTTCAATTCCTTCACAGATTTCAATTCCTTCAGAAATATTATAGCGAATCAAACGCCACCTTAAGGTATATTCATTCGGTCTTTTCAACGCATAATTTTTTTTCTCTTCTATTTTTATTAAGAAGTTTTGTGTTCAAGAATTGAATGTTTCTTTTTTGTTTTGGGAAATATAAATACAGGAATGGCCACATTTCAGCTTTCCGCATCATCAGTGACAGTTTCAGCAAAGAACTTGGCTTCATTTGAAGAGCTAAAGCCATACGCTGTGGAATTCTCTTCTTTGCGAAGTTTAAAGCCTTGGTCTTTGAACCACAAATCCTTTAAGGGTTTGATTGTAAAAGCGGCTACCGTTGTTGCTCCTAAGGTAATTTCCCGTTATAATTTCATTGGCTCCTTTGCTTTTTTGTTAATGAGTTTATTGGGAGTTTGCTTCAGAATTTGATAAGCAATGTTCTAGTGATTGAATTTTTTAGATTTAAACTAGAGTAGAGCAAATCACTGAAAATTTTGAAGAATCTTAAGTTTATATTTGAAATTTCATTGCACTATATGTGAATTTGTAGTGAGCTGATAATTTTGATGATCCTCATGCCGGTTTTCGTGGCATGATACTATTGCTATATGCAGTACACATCAATTAAGCCTTTGGGTGATCGAGTGTTGGTGAAGATCAAAGAAGCCGAGGAGAAGACCGAGGGTGGCATCCTGCTTCCGACAATGGCTCAATCGAAGCCTCAAGGAGGTGAGGTGGTTGATGTTGGTGAAGGGAAAACAGTTGGGAAGACCAAATTGGAAAGCTCTGTTAAGGTGGGATATGCAGAGTAGATAGCGGTCCCAGTTTTTCTATTTGTTGCATGTAACTTACACTATGCTATGTTTTTCTTAGACTGGTGGCAAGGTCACTAAGAGGTTTTAGTTAGGGTCATCAAGTTAAGGGATGCCACAATGGTGGTGCACGGACTTTGATAGCGCTTGATGTTTTGTGTTTGAATGTTGGCTGCAGGTTGCGGAAGCCGAGGAGAAAACAGCTGGAGGTTTGCTGTTGACAGAGGCAAGCAAGGAGAAGCCGTCCATTGGGACTGTAAGGAACAGTTATAATCTTGTGGGAAACGGTATATAGTTTTCCGCTATGTCACTTCATATGTTACAACTTGTACCTTTCATTTGGACGAGGAAGGTAACATAAAGCCATTGTCCGTTGCACCTGGAAACGCGGTCCTGTATTCCAAGTATGCAGGCAATGATTTCAAGGCAAGCGACGGGACCAATTATATCACCCTGAGAGCATCTGATGTAATGGCCTCGCGTAGTCGTCCGATGAGATGTATTTTATGGGGTACATTTGATTGCAAAAAGATTCCAGTGTTTGGCAACTATGGGGGAAATTTTGGTGAAAAAAATAAAGGATCAATTCACATGGAAGTTGAAGTTTCCTGATGTCTTTGAAGAGTTTTAATAGCAACATCTTACGGCTTTATTGCATTTGTTGAAGATGATGAGGATCTTTATGGCATTGAACAGTCAATGTGGGATTATAAGGTGATGGTTTTGTTTGTATTATAAAATCTGTGACCGGATACCAATTCAGGCCAAGCAAAAATTACAATTGTCAGAATGGTCTAAGCATACCAAAGAATCTGTTCGTCACTAAATTTTGAAAATTGATTTTTGGAATAGTCATAAATATTTTGGTTAGGTGGCTTAAGTACTTAGGAAACTAATTTTACTTACATATAATTAGAAAATTATTTGTAAGGATTATGAGTCAATTATACATAAAATTTATTTGTAAGGATTAGGAGTTGATTATACATAGGGAAAGTTAAACATCACTACAGTTGTCACATTTTTTCGTCGCTGGCGGACACTTCAGGAATGACTCCAATCAATCAGATTATGATACATTATTTAACAGGTTTTTTAATGGTTATTACGTACTGGCGGATGCATGTACATTCCAGGGTGAACACGTGTCCACCGTGGAATCCGAATTTCTTTATACTAGTTGTTCATTTTATTGAAGGTACTCACCCTAAAATTTTATTGTGCTCACCCTGAAGTTGTTCATTTTACTAAATGTATCCACCCGAAAATTTTATTTGTCTGTCCTTACGAATTTTTTATTATTAATACATATGTGCTCACTCTAAAAAATATTTTTGAATTTGTCATTGTTATTACAGTTGATATACTTAAATTGATAATGTTTGTAAAGTTAAATGCCGAAATGAATAAAAAAATTTAGACACAACTTTAAACGTGATATAATTCGGACATTTATTTTTATATTAAATTTCTCGTTAATATCAAACGCAAAATATCATTGCCTTTATTTGAAATTCGAAAATATGTGATTAATGGTATGAATCTAACATGCCTGAGATGAATAATATATATAATTGTATATAATATTTACTCAATTGAAAATCGTTCATATATTAAGGAGAATATTCCTTTATACGGGTGATCCTAAGAATCACAATTCCACCACTTAAGATGCATTCCCTAGACCCCCTTGAGGAAATATATTACCTCTTTCATTTATTAAGGGACCAAAACATAGCTTTTTTAAACTGGTGACCAAAATTGAATAAACGAGAAATACAAGGACAACCAGTGTTGTTTGCCCTTGTTAATTGTAGGTTTGAATAGATTCTTTGCGATGGTTGGTTCGATACATTCGATGTTTGATGTATTTGATCTCATCACTTTAATATTATTTAAGTATCAGTTTTAGATTTAATATTATTTAGATTTGTATATTTTATAATAAACAATATAAATTTTACATTTATTCATGTGATATCATATTATTTATCTTGTTCCTAATCACAAATGCAGTGGAGTTAATAACCGATGATAAAAATTTTGATAAAAAAAAATTAGAGATTTACCAGATTGAACTGATCGTTTCTTCTTCTTCTTCTATATTTTCATTTTGTCACTCTTCCTCATTCTTTGTTAGATGGGCCGCTAGATTTTGATTAAACTCTCATTAAGAATCTATATTTTTCCTAGCTCGATTCCTCAAACTCTTATATTTTCAGTTTTAATTTGTTTTTGGGTAGTGATGGCATCTTCATCTTTGGCAAGTCCGCTCTGTAATCAGGCACAGTCTCCTCTGCTCCATTCATCAGTCTCTTCTTCTTCTTCTTCAAAGAGAGCCGACCATTGGCCCAGCAATAGAAGGAAAACTCTTATTGGTCCATGCAGCGGCGGCTCATCTAGCTGCAAAGACAGTGATTCGGTTTCTTCATTTTGTGGATCACGATTTCAAGGCTCGATGACTTCCTGCTTAGCTTTTGAGCCACGTAATGACTACCGTTCCTTTAAAAATGGTAGCAGTTTCCGTCAAAATGGCAGCTCCTCGTCTTTTTTTGAATCAAAACATGTTTCCTTCAACAATGATCGTAAGCACCGGAGGATTGATCGAGGAGCCGCCCGTTCTGGTACAATTTTAGCAGCTTTAGGAATCTGGGTTCTTTTGTTTTTTTTGTTATTTTTAGCTGTTTTTATTTGTCTAATATCTGAAAGAAGTTTATTCTTCTTTATGCTGCATTTAATTTCTTTTGCTGTTTGAACCTGACCCTTTCTCACCTAAGTGTGTTTTTGTTTGGTTTTGTTCTTTATTTATACCGTTAAACACATGCATGCATACATAGGCCCACAGGCATATATATCCTGTTCAAATTAATATATATAAATATAAGTGTGTATTACTCTGACCTTAAATCATAATAAGCTGATGATTGAATGATGATGGAAGCATGAAAACTATTTTTTCTCAAATAATATAAATGCAATGCAAAACAGATATACAAAATTTGGTTATGACTCCTGTTACTTGGACTTAGGTGAGAGTATTTGATAGGAATATGTTTTCACCATAATTATGTTCAATTTTTTTCCATGTAATCGAATGATCATACACCTCGTCCATGTCCGGAAATGTGTTGAACACGTAAGTTGGACATTCTTACTTCAAGCAATATGAAGAGTTGAAGTAAGATAGGTTCCGTCTCCAATATATTATAATCATCGAATTATAAGCATAAAAAATTTGCCTTTCCTTTCCCTTGGCTTCGATATTGGGTTATTTCAGGCTGGTAGTATTTATTGTTTTGACTTGATGAGCATCCTAGTATTTGTCTTTTCATGGATTAGCTGGCTCCTTGGTATCATATAGGAACATATTTGTTTGTTCTTACTGAACTTCTTGTTTTTTCTATTCATATGTGATTTTTTTGTTTCTGTGTGTATAATATCTGCTAAACAGTGTTGATAGGGGACACAAGTTTCTTCATGCACAGAACTGTAACTTAAACTATGTGCAACTGTAATTCGCTAGTTAATTTATTTAAAAAATATAGAGGAAGCCATGGCTATAGCAGTGCAACCTGCTAGAGAAATCAGGACAAAGCAGAAACTTCCCATGAAGCAAAGAAGGGTTGTTGTGACTGGGATGGGAGTGGTAACTCCACTTGGCCACGACCCTGATGTCTTCTATAACAATTTGCTTGAGGGTGCCAGTGGTATAAGTGAAATCGAGGCCTTTGACTGTGCTCAGTTTCCGACCGTAAGTTGCGTTTCGGATCTCTTGTCTGCTGTTATTTGTACAAGTGCTTGTTCTTAGTCATCTTATGTTCTTTCTCCAGAGAATTGCTGGGGAGATCAAATCTTTATCAACTGATGGATGGGTTGCACCAAAACTTTCCAAGAGGATGGATAAGTTCATGCTTTATATGCTTATTGCTGGAAAGAAAGCCTTGGAAGATGGTGGAGTAACTGAAGATGTAATGGATGAATTAGATAAAGAGAAATGTGGAGTTTTGATTGGTTCAGCAATGGGTGGTATGAAGGTAAATTCTGTAGTCTCTAGTTTATAACACATCTATTTATCAATAGTACATGGCAGCAGCAAGACATTAACTTGACTGTAAAACGAGACTATGGAACAAACTTCTTTGCAATGTGGCTTTCCTTTGTCTATGTTAAAAATTGTAAGTGCTAGAATGAATAATTCCTCATATATATTTTAGAATAGAAACTATACAAATATATACAATTTTAATCTAACTAACCAACTGTCAATTAGTTACAATTGAAACAGAAATAACAAACTTTAACTTCTAACACTCCCCCTCAAGTTGGTGGGTAGAAGACATCTTTTACCCCCAACTTGGATACAAGATACTCATGTTGTTGTACTCCTAGAGCTTTAGTAAATATGTCTGCTAATTGCTCTGAAGAAGGCACAAACTCTGTCTTGATAAGTCCTTCTTGTATTTTCTCCCTTACAAAGTGACAGTCAATTTCTATATGCTTTGTGCGCTCATGATATACTGGATTTGCTGCAATCTGAAGGGCAGCCTTGTTATCACAATACAACTTGATTGGATACTTCTTTTCTAACCCAAGCTCATTGGCTAAACCATTCAACCAAGTCAATTCAATTGATGTAACAGCCATGCTTCTGTACTCTGCTTCAGCAGATGATCTAGATACAGTATTCTGTTTCTTGGACTTCCATGAAATCAGTGAATTTCAAAACTTAATGTAAAAACCAGAAACAGACCTTCTTGAAATAGGACATGCAACCCAGTCTGAGTCACAATATGCTTCAAGTTCACAGCTGCTGTTTGAATCCATCAAGATCCCTTGACCAGGATTCCTTTTTATGTACCTCACTATCCTCAATGCTGATTGCAAATGTGATTCTTTAGGTTGTTGCATAAACTGACTCGAGTGATGCACAACAAAGGATATATTTGGTTTGGTATGTGTGAGGTAAATAAGTCTTCCAATGAGCCTTTGATAAACATTCTTGTTAGCTAACAACTCATCAACTTCATTACTCCCTTTTGTGCACAGCTCATCATACTCTGTTGTAGTAAGCCTAGCATTTTGTTCAAGGGGAGTCTTTGTTGGTTTTGAATCACTTGCTCCTGTTTCCTCAATCAATTCAAGGGCATATTTGTGCTGATTAATTAAGATCCCTTCTTTTGATCTCATAATCTCAAGTCTCAAAAAATACTTCAATTCACCAAGATCTTTCATCCTAAACTTCTTGTTCAAAAGACTCTTTAAATCATTAATCAAACAATTATCATTGCCAGTAATCAGCAAGTCATCAACATAAATCAACAAAACTACTGTTGGAAATCCTAGAATTAAGGGACTGAATCTTCTTCCTTATTTTTAGGAGTTAACTTAGTGTAAATATGTCTCTAATTGTAGTTCCTAATTTTTAGGGATTCTTTCCTATTTTTTGCACTAATTCTTACTTTAAAAGATGTAATATGTTGTTAGAGAAATATCAGAATCATTTTTCTCAAATCTGTTCATGGTGTCAGAGCTGTAGGGATATTTCTGATCCATTATACTTCTTTATTTTTCTCCCGTGTCTTGTTTTTCTATCATGGCAAACACTGGAAATATTTCTGATTTTGAGACTTCACAAGTAACTCAAAATGTCAACCAAGCACTATCTCATAGTGATGTTAATTCGTCCCTCACAATTACTAATCATCAATTAGATGGGAAGAATTTTTTACAGTGGTCTCAATCGGTACTCATGGTGATTCGAGGTCATGGGAAACTAAGATATATCAGTGGAGAAATTCCACGTCCTCACCTTACTGATCCTACATTTGCTACGTGGGAACTCAATAATTCTATTATCATGGCCTGGCTGATCAACTCCATGGAGAGTCACATAAGCCGAACCTACCTCTTGTTCAAGACTGCAAAAGAAATGTGGGATGTAGTCAAGGAGAACTATTCTGATCTAGGAAATGCTTCTCAAGTTTTTGAAATCAAGCTAAAATTAAAAGACATTCAGCAAGGAATTCTTGAAGTTATACAGTACTACAACAACTTAAAAGTCTTATGGCAGGAACTCGATATGTACTATGAAGTGGATTGGGGTGAAGGCTTGGAGCACACCAAGTTCATGTCACATCTCAATAAAGAACGGCTCTATGAGTTCCTAGTAGGGCTGAACCGAGACTTGGACAAAGTTCGTGGCCGTATTCTGGGTAGGACCCCTCTTCCAACCATTGGAGAAGCATTTGCAGAGTTTCGGAGAGAAGAAAATCATCGCCGAGTAATGATGGGAGATTCCAAGGAACCAAAACCTGTGACCAATTATGGTCATAGTCCTACTGAATCATCTGCCCTGGTCTCAAGGGGCCCTCAATCTCAAAAAATTCGAGCAGGGAATGATTTAAAACTAAGTCGCTCAGGAGATCGACTGTGGTGTAGCTATTGTAACCGTACCGGCCACACAAAGGAAAAATGTTTCAAGCTCCACGGTTATCCCGGTATAACAAAAATTCAGAAGGAAAATAAGGCTCTTTTATCCTTGGGCAGCTCATCCACTGCGACCCCTGTACCTACTGAAGCCGTTCAGGATGTTCGCCTAACAAAGTCCCAACTTGAAACTCTTCACAAGTTACTCGGTGCACCAATAAGCCATGGTTCCTTGGCTATTCAAGGTATTGCTTTTAATATTACTTCTGAATCTAGTAACCATCCATCCTAGATTCTAGATTCGGGAGCATCCGATCACATGACAGGTAATTTATCATTATTCCATACGTATGCCCCCTGCCACAACCAATCTCGAATTCGAATAGCTGATGGTTCATACTCATCTATTGCTGGAATTGGGGCTGTTCGACTCACTAAGGACTTCTCACTCGAGAAAGTTCTTCATGTCCCGAATTTATCTTGTAATTTAATGTCAGTAAGTAAACTTACTGAAGACAAGGTTGTTTGTGCTGAATTTTCTGCTGATGGTTGTATTATACAGGAACAGAAATCATGGAGGATGATTGGCACTGCTAAGGTTGATGATGGACTCTATATTTGGGATGACTACAAGGACAAGAATAAAAAAGGAGTATTTGCTCTCTCTGCTTCAAACGATGACACTATCATGATGTGGCATCGTAGGTTAGGACATCCAAATTTCTTGTATTTGAAGCATTTGCTCCCTATGTTATTTCGGAATAAAAAAATCAATTCCCTGAAATGTGAAATATGTCAATTGTCAAAACATACCCGTGTTCCTTATCCTTTGAAGCCTTATATACAATCAAAACCTTTCTCTTTGATTCATAGTGACCTATGGGAGCCAAGTCGTGTTAAAAACATCACGGGGGCTAGATGGTTCATAACATTTATTGATGACCATACTAGAGTATGTTGGGTTTACCTTCTAAAAGAAAAAACAGAAACACCAAAGGTATTCCAGAATTTCCACTCCATGATCCGAACCCAATTTGACTCAAACATACAACACTCTGCACTGATAATGGAAGGGAGTATTTCAATTCTGTTTTAAGCCCTTATCTCTCTGAACAAGGCATTATTCATCAAAGCTCTTGTCCAGACACACCTCAACAAAACGGGATCTCATAAAGAAAAAATAAGACATATACTAGCTATTGCTCGAGCCTTAATGTTTACCATGAAAGTTCCAAAATACCTATGGGGGGAGGCTGTCCTTACTGCATGTTATTTAATAAATCGTATGCCCTCTAGAGTTCTTAATCTCCAAACTCCTTTACATGTCCTACAAAAAAACTTTCCCCTGTTTCGTGTTCCTATCCTACCAGCCAAGATATTTGGTTGTAAAGCCTTTGTATATAATCACCAACCTAATCAATCCAAACTTGATCCCTGAGCACACCTATGCGTCTTTGTTGGCTACTCATCCACAAAAAAAGGATACAAATGTTACTCACCCACCTTGCGTCGCATATTTGTCTCTCATGATGTCACATTTTTTGAAACCGACCTGTATTTTTCTGCCACTCATCTTCAGAGGGAGACTCTTAGTGAAGATGAGACTCTTCATACTCTTCTTATTATACTCCCTGAGCTTATCCTTAACACCACTGCCACACAAAATTCTAAGGGTGACCCTGTCCTCATAACACCAGATTTGAGTGTTCCACTGGAGAGAAATGAATTTTCCAACGATGAAATCCCCATTAGAAGTAAGCTTCAACAACCTAATCCTTCTGAGAAACCCCAGCTACGGCCTCCAGAAATCATTGTTTATTCTCGGAAACATTTTCCTCCTAAAAACGACACAATAACAGTGCCAAATTCATCCAACTCCGAGGACTGTCCTGTTTCAGATCAGTCTCCTGGTTCGTCGGATATGGATCTTCCTATCGCTGTTCGTAAAGGCACAAGAGCTTGTACTCAGCATCCAATCTCTCGGTTTGTATCCTATGGAAATTTATCTAAAGCTTACAAAACTTTTGTAACTAATATTGACAGTGTAAAGACTCCAAGAAATGTGAAAGAGGCTTTGGAATCAACCGAATGGAGACATGCTGTTTTTGAAGAAATGAATGCTCTAAAAAATAATGGGACATGGGAAGTTACAGATCTGCCAGAAAGGAAGAAAAGCATGGGTTGTAAATGGATTTTCACCACAAAAATCAAGCCTAATGGGAGTATTGATCGGTACAAGGCCCGGCTTGTGGCAAGAGGCTTTACTCAAACCTATGGTCTCGACTATGATGAGACGTTTGCCCTCGTTGCAAAGTTGAATACTGTTCGAGTGCTACTTTCCTTAGCTGTCAACCTTGATTGGCCCTTAACACAACTTGATGTAAAAAATGCATTCCTCAATGGAGACTTGAGCGAGGAAGTATACATGGACTTTCCACCAGGCTTTGAAAAAGAAAAAGGGCGAGTATGTAGATTAAAGAAGTCACTATACGAACTAAAACAATCCCCAAGAGCTTGGTTCAGCCGGTTTGCCAAGGCTATGACCAACAGGAATTACACCCAGGGGCAAGCAGATCATACACTATTTTACAAACACTCAGGAAATGGGAAATACTCTATTCTTATTGTCTATGTTGATGATATTATTCTAACAGGGGATGATTCGAGTGAGCTGTTGAAACTAAAAGACTTCCTCAACATAGAATTTGAGCTTAAAGATTTGGGGAATCTCAAATACTTCCTTGGCATGGAAGTAGCACGGACTCGGACAAGCATTTCTATTTCCCAACGAAAGTATGTTCTTGATTTATTGGCTGAAATTGGCCTGCTAGGTTGTAAACCTGCCGAGACCCCAATGGAGTTCAATTCTAAGCTAGGCAATGATGATGATGGGGGAAGAAGTAGACAGGGGGAGATACTAGAGACTCGTGGGAAAACTAATTTATCTATCTCACACCCGACCTGATATTGCATTCGGTGTGAGTGTCATCAGTCAGTATATGCATGCTCCAAAGGAAAAACATTTGGAGGCGGTTTACAGGATGCTAAGGTATTTGAAAGGAACACCAGGTAAAGGTCTTCATTTCAAGAAAAACACCAATCGTGACATAGAACTTTACACTGATGCTGATTGGGCAGGATCAGTGAGTGACAGACGATCTACAAGTGGTTATTGTAGCTATGTGTGGGGCAATCTTGTGACATGGAGAAGTAAAAAACAGTCCGTTGTGGCTCGTACCAGTCCAGAGGCAGAATATCGAGCTTTATCTCTTGGTATATGTGAACGAATTTGGTTACAAAGATTAATGAAGGAACTTAAAGTATCCTATGTTAAACCTATGAAGGTATATTGTGATAATCAAGCTGCTGTCAGTATAGCACATAACCCAGTTCATCACGATCGTACTAAACATATGGAGATAGATCGTCATTTCATCAGAGAGAAGGTAAATTCAGGAGAAGTTTGTATCACCTATTCTTACTAAGCAACAAGTTACAGACTTACTAACTAAAAGTCTAAGTAAGAATGTGTTTGAAGATTTTATTGGCAAGCTAAGATTGATAAATATCTACACACCAGCTTGAGGGGGAGTGTTGGAAATCCTAGAATTAAGGAACTGAATATTCTTCCTTATTTTTAGGAGTTAACTTAGTGTAAATATGTCTCTAATTGTAGTTCCTAATTTTTAGGGATTCTTTCCTATTTTTTGCACTAATTCTTACTTTAAAAGATGTAATATGCTGTTAGAGAAATATCAGAATCATTTTTCTCAAATCTGTTCAACTACAATCTTCTTATCGTTTCTCATTGTGAACAAAGAATAATCAAACTTGCTTTGTTCATAACCAGCCCCTAAAAGAGCCTCAGTTAACTTCAAATTCCACTGCCTAGATGCTTGTTTTAAGCCATAAAGAGATTTTTGCAGTCTACACACCCTATTCTCCCCTTGACTAAAAAAACCAGGAGGAAGTTCCATATATACATCTTTAGACAAATCAACTTGTAAAAAGGCATTATACACATCAAGCTGAAATAGAGGCCAATAAAAAACAGAAGCAATGGCAAGAAGAAAATGAACATTAACCAATTTGACCACTGGTGAGAAGGTATCCACATAATCTACACCCTCTTTTTGACTATAACCCTTGGCCACCAAACAAGCTTTAAATCTTTCTATAGTACCAGCAACATTATATTTAACCCTATAAACCCATTTGCATCCAATAGAAACTTTTCCAGAAGGTAAAGAGACAATTGACCAAGTTTTATTTGTTTCAAGAGCAAGAATTTCATCCTTCATAGCTTGTACCCATTCTGGATGTTGAATGGCCTCATAATATGATTTAGGTTCAACAGGATGCGAAATAGAGGAAATGAAGGATTGTGTAACAAGAGGAAGATGATTATAGGAAATAGAATCTGAAATGGGATAAGTAGAAGTGGAAACATAATTACAAATAAAATCATTCAACCATTGAGGTTGTTTAGAAACCCTAGTAGAATTCCTAACCAAGATTGGAGCTACTGGACCCATAGGAGGTTCTGTTGTTGTGATGATTGCCCAGGTTCAAATGTGGAAGAAGAATCAGGTGGGACAGTAGGAACAGGTTGTTGACCAAAAGAAAGAACTAAAAACTTAGCATCAGGAATAGAAGGAGTGGAAGGAAAAAAGGAATCTGCCTGAACAGGAAAATGAAAGGGAAACACCTGTTCATGAAAAATAACATCTTTATTGACAAAGAACTTCTTAGAAGTGAGATCAAACAAAAGATAACCTTTTTCAGTATTAGAATATCCTATTAAAACAAAAAGGTAAGGCTCTAGGAGCAAATTTATCAGTTGGTTTAGGAGTAGTGGCATAACACAAACAACCAAAAACTCTAAGGAGAGACAAGTCAGGAGGTTTGTGATAAAGCATTACATAAGGAGTTTTCCATTGCAAAATAGAAGAAGGAATCCTGTTTATAATGAAACAAGCTGTTAACACACATTCACCCCAAAATTTAATAGGCACTTTTGATTGAAAACGTAAAGTCCTAGCTACTTTTAAAAGATGTTTATGCTTTCTTTCTGCAATTCCATTTTTTTGTGGAGTCTGAACACAAGAACTCTAGTGCAAAACACCAAGAGAAGATAAAAAAAGGAGTACAGTGAGAATTGAAAAATTTTGTACCATTGTCACTTCTAACAATCTTAGTGACAGAAGAAAACTGAGTGGAGGTAAATGAAATAAACTGTATGAGGAACAAAACAACATCATTTTTAACTCTCAAGAAATAAACCCAAGTCGTACGTATGCAATCATTAACAACAGTAAAAAAATATCTATGACCACTATTAGTAGATATCCTATAAGGACCCCATAAATCTATATGAATTAGTTCAAAAGGTTTTGAGGATCTAGTAAGACTAAGGGGAAATGGCAATCTGGTTTGTTTTGCTAAAGGACATACATTACAAGTATGAACAACATTTATATCAAATTTGTCAAAACATAATAATATAGTTTTCTCATAGCAGAAGCAGAAGCATGCCCAAATCTAGCATGCCAAAGACTAGTTTTATTAGAAACAGAAACAGTAGGTATAGAATGAGCAGAAGAAATATCCCCATAATTAACCAAAGAATTAGAAAACAAACCAATAGCTCCTTTAGTAGACTCAAAATTATAAAGTCCATTAAACCTTCTACCAATCCCCTTGATCATGCCAGTGTAAAGATCCTGCAAGATGCAATGTCAGGATAAAAGGAAATAATACAAGCATGATCTTTGACAAGCCAAGAAAAATAAATCAAATTATGAGAGAAACTAGGAACAAACAAGACATTAGAGAGAACTAGATCAGAAGTCAACCTATGAGAACCTATATGGGATACTAGTTTAGTTTGACCATTAGGCAGATGAACATAACAATGGGAAGAACATGAAACAGGAAATTGCAAGCCCTTAAAAATAGATAAAATATGATCAGTCGCACCAGTTTCAATTATCCAATGAACACATATGTCATTGGAAGCAGGTAAACTCAAGCAACAGTACCTGCAAGATTCACACTGGAATCTAAGGTTGAGCTCTTGTTCAACAAGCTTAGGATCTGATTATACTGCTCAGAAGTAAAGGCAGACACAATCAAGACAAGAGAGGAAACCACCGAACCAGTCTTGGCCTCTCCATCAACAGTGTGCACAGAATTAACTACCATGGCAGCCTGAGGAGCCTTTTTTCTATTGAACTTAAAGTCTAGTGGAAAACCGATAAGTCGATAACAACGATCACGAATGTGACCTTTGACTTTGCAATACTCGCAGGTTCCATTGAACCGCCTTCGATCACTCCCTTTGGAAGCAGTTGAGAACATTACAGAAGCTTCAATAGGTGCACCAGACAGCTGAACTCGATGAGATTCCTCCTGAATAATCATGGAGTACGCCTGATTAACAATAGGAAGAGGCTTCATAATAAGAATCTGACTTCGAATCACAGAGTAAGTTTCATTGAGGCTCATCAGAAATTAGAAGAGTCGTTGTTGAGCCACATTAATTGAATTATGTTGTGCAGCCTCACAATCACAGGAAGAGAAAGGGACAAGAGCAGTGTACTCATCCCATAAGTGTTTGAGACGAGTAAAGTAAACTGAAATGGAGGAATCGCCTTGAACAAGTGTGGCAATCGACCGATGCAAGAAAATAACCCTAGAACCATCAATTTTATCGAATCATTCCTTGAGGTCTTAAACATCCTCTACGTTCGAAGCAAATACAATACCAGCAGAGAGATCCTGACTTACAGAATTCAGAATCCACGAGAGCTTAAGTGCATTGCATCGCTCCTACTGAGATTGCAACAGACCTTCATAATCCTCCCTTCGACAGCTTCCATCCACAAAGCCAAGCTTATTCTTGGCCAGAAGCGCAATACGCATGGATCTGCTCCACACACTGTAGTTTTCGAAGTCGGTGAGCTGATGCGATACCAATTGAACGCCAGGCGTATAAACGGTGTATAAAAGATGAATCCATTTTGTGTACCATTTGCTACTACAAATATGGGTTCCGCGATGCTAGCAATGGATCTGGTTAGCCTAAATTTTAGATTCTGCAATATAAACGGTGTATCTTAATGGGTGTAAAAGTTTGAACTTCAAGCTTTAATTTGATGAATTTTTTCAGGGATGGATGGGTCCTAACTACTCTATCTCCACTGCATGTGCTACAAGCAACTTTTGTATATTAAATGCAGCAAACCACATGATTAGAGGCGAAGCTGTAAGTTGAGCAAAGAAAGAATTCTACTATATCATGATATAATCCGAATGTGCTATATTTGAAATGTTTGAAAAAAATTGTAGGATATGATGCTCTGCGGTGGCTCTGATGCTGCAATTATACCCATTGGTATCTCTTTCACACTTTCTTATTCAACACATTTTATAAACTTTCAACTTGGTACAACCAGACATACTCTGCTTTATGATTTATTTATTTTTTAATTCAGGGTTGGGAGGATTTGTCGCATGCAGAGCACTCTCTGAGAGGAACGGTGATCCTACCAAAGCTTCACGCCCGTGGGACATTGTAATGTTTCAATAACTCTTGAGAATCCAGGCCTTCATTTTCCTTTTGCTGTTGTTTTTATCTCCATGCTGCCGAATTAAAGCAGTAAAACTGAATCAAGTTATTTTGTTGTGGAAAGATGGAGTCTAGTACTGCTCTCATTCCCTATAACTCTTTTAGGTCACAACACTTTGAATTAAGTTATACATCTGCAAACAGTGCCTTCAACAAATTTATTGTATGTTTATCAAGTGTTTTCTAATCGATGACAGTTATTCAGTGCTCATAAAATTTCCGTTCAATTCAGGGGTTATTTACTTTGATAGTGCTCCTAATTTTTTGCATAGAATCGTGATGGATTTGTCATGGGGGAAGGTGCTGGGTTTCTGCTTTTAGAAGAATTGGAGCATGCTAAGGTACACTGCCGTTAATCCTACAAAGCCACTGAGCCACAAGTTTTCACCTGTGGTTTTTGGTGAATTTACCAAAAAATGGAGATTATGATCGTTGTTTGATGGAAGATTTACCAATTTTTGGTTTTCTAATTTTGCAGACGAGAGGTGCGACCATTTATGCAGAATTCCTAGGTGGGAGCTTCACTTGTGATGCCTATCATATGACCGAGCCACACCCTGTTGGTAATAAGCCTTAGCTTTATTATTACAGTTATTTCTTCCTTAATCCGTATTGTATTTCTATCTGGTATTTCATTGTAGAGCTTTTGTTTCAGCGAGAAATAAGTCTTGCGCCACATTTTTATGATAATAATTCTGTATAAGATGGAATTAAGATGAACCTTATGTTGACATCTTTGTCTATTGTTCTTGAAATCGTTGCTAGACGAGCAGACATATTTACATTGTTCTGTTTATACTTTTTGATACAAGTTCTGCTTATACTTATAATCTACATAAGCAGTTCTCGACTTTAGCCTTTTTTAGGCCTATAGGCATGTCTTTAGTGCCAAGGATGGACCTTTAAACTTAATTTCTCTCTTCTGCGGCAGCACATGATACTGATATGAAAGATTAAACTAATATTCATCTCGTGAAATCTGAAAATAGGAGTTGGTATCGTTCGCTGCATAGAAAAGGCCTTGGGTCAGTCTGGAGTATCTAGGGAAGATGTAAATTATATTAATGCTCATGCTACATCTACACCATCAGGAGATGTTAAAGAGTACCAGGCTCTCCTACACTGCTTTGGAAAAAATCCTGAGGTTATTTGTCATAAATTTCTTGAATGATCTGATCTTTGTGTATATAATTTTTTCTCGATATTTCTACATTGTGATTATTGATAAGATCTCTGGTTATGTGCAGTTAAGAGTGAACTCCACAAAGTCCATGATTGGTCATCTACTGGGAGCTGCTGGCGCTGTGGAAGCTGTTGCAGCAGTTCAGGTGTGTGATTTAGATATTTCATCTTCCTTCTATGTTGGATTTAGAAAAAGGGTTCCGTGGCTGTATGTAGTTATTAATTTTTGTTGGTTGAGTTCTGTTCTACACGAAGAGTACCGTTACTTTCAATATTTATATTTTTCATGTCTATGTGGTAGGAGGACATCATTTTCTGTCACCATGTTTCGTCCCATTCTATTCTTTCTTTCTTTCTCTCTCTTTCTTTCTTCGGAAATCTGCACATAAGTCTAATGTCTATCCCTTGTATAGGCGATAAGGACTGGTTGGGTTCATCCAAATATCAACCTGGAAAACCCGGACGAAGAAGTGGTATGTTTCCCCTTCCCCTCGTACATTTCTTCGTTGTTGCTTCCTTTAAAATTACGCTTTGTAGCAGTTTTTGCTTTGGACGTGTTAATACAGCTGTAGTTTTCTCTTCTCTATTTTTTTCGTTCTCTATAACCAAATATATCTCTTTATCTTTTCCTATCTCTTTTCTGCTTGATTTACCAATGAGACTTATCTTATGTTTGCCAACAACACATCTAATGCAGGACACAAATGTGCTTGTTGGACCAAAGAAAGAAAGACTGAATGTTACGGCAGCATTGTCTAATTCTTTTGGGTTTGGCGGCCACAACTCCTCGATCATATTTGCTCCTTACAAGTAAACGTAAAGTTCAAGCATCGATTGTCCTTGTTTTCTTATATTTGGATTAACTGAAGGTACGTAAATTCGTTACGTCAGCAACAGCTGCTGAACTATGCAAATTCTGGCGGCCATTTGGTTGGCAAACTGTTTAGTTCAGCTACATCATGCTGAGGACTTGGGAAGCTTTGTCCGGTCGACAAACATAGGTCCCTGAAAAGGGTTATCATAGGAAGTAAGGTAAAACATCCGACTGTGTGGATCTAGTTAGGGAGAAAAGATGATGTTTAGAGTTCAATGTTGTGTTCTAATATCTCGTACTTCTCTTAAAATTTAAAAGCTGCAATGGAGATTTTGGTCTTTCAGTTGACGCGCCATTGAACCACGAGTGTTTTCTTGTTTTTATCTATGTTTGAAACCGGACAAACATTACAATCACGACATGATTTAAGAACAACATAAATATTTGCAAGCAAGCTAAATCAAAGCAGATGTTCTTATTCCCCATCATCATGATCATCAAGGACTCAACAGGTGTCTACCATGACTTCCATCAAGCCTATTAATCATATAAAGAGCATTGCTGGTAACCTTAGCCGCATTCATGATCATCTTCTTCCCGTCAACCCCTTGAAACCCATTAAGACATGTGTCCTTGTTCGTTAACGCTGCGTTCACCCATGTCTGTGCATGACTCATCTGGAATTCGAATGTTTCCCCTCTCAAGTGCTTCAGCTCACCCAGTGTCTTGCTTAACTCCTCTACCGACTTGGCTACCTGCGCCATACAGTCTCAAGTGCACCTCGTTCCCCCTTGCTCTTCCTCGTCACAGTTACTGTCGTCAAGTAGCTTGACAGTTTCCAAGCACAGGAGAGGCCCACTTTGACGACAGCCTGGGCCAAGACGCGTGGGGTGTTGGCAGAGCTAGAGTAGGAAGATAGCGTGCGAAGGCAGAGCCCAGGGTAGCTGGCATGGATGCACGCTGAACGTACCAGGTATTGCGGTGCAGTGGTGACAGCGGCGGAGAGGAGAGGGAGGAGGAAAGCTTAAGTACAAAGAAAGGAATCTTCATAGTTTCAGAGAGTTGTTTAAGTGAGTGAATATTTGGAGAGCTAGATTTTATAGCCAGGGATGGAACGTTGGCGTTATATTTCGTATATTTTCCGAAACTTTTTATACAACACACCAAAATGGTGATTGTTTCTATTGGATCACAATTTATTGAAGAAGAAGAAGAAGAGGGAAATTAAAAGTTCACAATGTAAGTACGAAAATTAGGTGGATGGATCAGAAAATGTGATTTATTATTATAAATCTCAAAACGTGGAGCTTGATAAAACCTTCCCTTGGTCCCAACCCAAGCATGCGAAGCTTGTTTGTCAGGCGGCCCCTTTTATGGAAACCCTTTTCAATTATAAATGTCTACTTACCACAGGAATGGATGCTTTCAACAAATTATTGTTAGTAGCTCAAAATAATCTCACATTTATTTGAAAATCTATTACTTTTGATTTATACACTAAATATTTTTATCGAGTTCGTAAGAAAAAATACGTGCTAATCTCAGAAGAGTAAGGCCTCTCAAAACGTAAATCAGTTTAAAATGATGGATTTTCCCCTTCCACGTGAACATGAATACAAGGACGATGTCCGGCGCACGTCTCGAACAATAATCTCGATCCTCGAATTTATCTTCTTCTAACCCTCAGCTTCTCTTTCAATAACCATTTCTTTTATTACAATATTAAGGATGCCTATGGTCGACACCAACCATCGATCCCATTGTTATGGCTACTACCAACCAGACGCATACCAATGATGCCCCACGTGTATTCAAAACAGTTCAAGTACTGCCCTCTACTACCTTTGTCAAATTATTCCTAGACATCTCCAAAATTACAAGTATTCGGTGAAAACAACTTCAAAAGGTGACAACTCAATCACTCCAATCTAGGTATGCATGATGTTACCTTTACATTGACAGAAATTATCTCTAAATGCACCATACAAGCAGATAGTATGTAGGCACACCATAACTTTCATTTTATCAAACCAACATTTTGATTTTTTTTTTCATCTGTGCAAAGAACGAAAAGAGATTCGAGATAATTTAATCTTAAAGTACACTACTAAGGATGTTGATAAACATATGTTTGTCATTGAAAAATTCCACCCCTTGGAGATTACTGATGACAGTGGATCAAGGTTCAGATCAACAAATACCACATATTGCTAGAGGACCAAAATTCAGAGATTATCATCTTGCAAGATGAGTTTGTTGTAGTATTAAAAAAATTAGTTGACTCTATTCTCATGTGTAATGGGGTAAGGGGAGGTAGGATAGTAGGTTGCCCCCAACGCCAGGTGAGCAGCTTCCGTGGGAGACCTTCGGCAGTCAAAATTATGAATTGCCCACCGTGGGACTCAATCCCACAACCACAAGGTTAAGAGTCTTACGTTCTACTAACTGAGCTAGACGGGCAATTCTTTGTTGCAGTACTACATACTGGAAAATTACCTCCATCCTAGAATGACTACAAACAACTTAAACACAAATACTTCTCTTTAAAAGAATTGGTCACCTATATTATCATAGAGGAACTAACCGAAAGGAAGTAACACCCATCAATCAAAGAGAGTTTACATTCATGGCCAATTTTGTTGAAGGAAAGACTAGAACTGGTATGTTCAATAGACATAATTCGAGACTATTTCTATAAGATGTATGAAAAAGTCTCTAGAGCACTTATGAAAACCCAGACACATGCACAATCGCTATGAAAAACAATAATACATGTTATGTGATTAATGAGACTGTTAGTTTACACAATGAGTTAATGGTTCATACAAACGCGTTTTACCAATTACTCAGTAAATTATATCTGATTTTTCTAAGTCCTAGTTTATAGCCTAAAAAGACACCAGAATGAATACGTTATGTCATAATATACAACTATACGCTTTTTTATTGTCTTGATATCATTTTGAAATATGTGGGGATTGTTGTAAAAATGAACATCCTATGTTTCAAAAGAATCTCACATCTCTTGAAAAATCCCTTGGTTTTGGTTTGTATACTAAGTTCTGGGGCATCAATGTTAGGCTCCCCACAAGCATAAAACAACATCAAATTGTGTAGGCAATTGAACATAATAGAATACAAATGATGAGCTGGTCAGCCATAGCAAGAAAAACTTTGAATCATACAAAAGAACACTTGTCTAACACCAACAACACATATGCAAGTACCAGATGGAGGAAAGAACAAAAAGAAGGAACAGTAAACAGAGGATTTTACAGTCTCTTAAGTATTTTTAAGGTTTCATCGATATGTTTCTCGGGCTGAAACTGATTGTTGTAAATGAGTTGAACCACCCCGTTTTTGTCAAGAACATAGGTCTGTCTTCCAGGCAATACTCCAAATAGATCAGCTGGCACTCCCCACTGTTTCCTCACCTTGTTGCCCTCATCACTCAGCAATGTAAATGGAAGTCTGTATTTCTGGGAAAATGCCTTATCAATTGAAACAGAATCTGTCAGTTTTTCAAGCAATTTGAAGACAATTGACCGAGTCCCAGACAACAGCAAATTCCTATCTTGCAATGATTCTAAATGCAAAAATCTTACAAAACCTCAAGATTTCAATTTGCATAATCCAAATTCAAATCTTTCGATGTAAAATCTGTTTTGGAGCAAAAGTTTTTATTGAAATACCTTGTGTGATGCTGAGCTATCAACACTTATTCCAATAACTTCAGCTCCTGCTTTCTTAAACTTTTCATAGGAATCCCTGAAAGCACACGCCTGCCCAATGTTTTAATTAATGTTTTGCATCAACAATTCAAGCATATGTTACTGAAATCAAAGGCAACAGTGGGTTTCGAAAAAATAGCCACATGTAATTATCAAGACATTAAAACAATCACCTGCTTGGTGCAGCTAGGGGATTCATCAGCAGGGTAGAAATAGACAACCAAAGGCGTCCCTTTAAACTTGGAAAGGCTCACACTTTTCCCATCTTGATCTTTCAACGTGAATGATGGAGGCACTGAACCTTTATTCACCTACCAAAAAAAACCCCGAAAAAAACATAAGTACTTAGAAAACAAAAACCCAGCAATAGAAAGCAATGTACCTGAGCAGAAATGGGAGTTTTAAAGGAGGAAAAACAAGGGATCAAAGGAGATGAAGAGTGAGAGAACTTAAAGCCGCAAAACTGTGACTTTGAAGATGTTGAGAAAATTAAGACACATTTAGGAACAGAGGAGTGGATCTTGCAAGTGTGAGAAGGGAGTAGAGAAGCCACAGCGTGGCTTGGGAGACCAAGAGAAGAGGCCATTAAAGGTTCAGGCAGAAAGAGGAAGGTTTCGTGTGAAGTGGTAATAAGAGAGTGGTTTCGAAAAAGGAAGATAAGAGATTGTAGGGGGATGTCATTGGCTGGTTATAGGGTCATAGGGGATATGGGAGAAGATGGCGGATGATATAAGATGCGCACTGCGTGGACAATTGCTGTCCGTAAGCTTTCAATTTCGAGAAAGAGCCAAGTATAGCTTGAGCACCGGATTCAAAAATTTTAAAATGGAGCTCAACTATAAAATTTGTTTGTCTAAAATTTATGATTTTGTATCGAAATTATGATTTAAAACTCGTAAATATTTTAAAAAACTCAAAATGAAATAAATATTTTAATTTTATTGAAACCTTAAACTTAAACATTAAATACATAAAAATTTTATAATGTATTTTTTTAAAAAAAATAAACACATAAATGTTAAAATTATTAATATTTTATTTTTTTAAAATAATAAAATATTAATATATTATATTTTCGAGATGCTCACAAGCTTTTCGAGTTGAGAATCAAATAGCTCGTTTCAGGTTGTTAAGAACTCGAGCCGAGCTCGAGCTCGAGTCCATTTGAATTGAATATTTATCGAGCTTTGATCGAGTCGATCTCAAGTAACTCGCGATCTGTTTCATCTCATTTATAGCCGTATGACGTGTATCAAGTGTTACTTATAAATTTGTACACTTTAATAATATATTTTTATTTATTAAATCAGTTAATTTTATTAAAAATATAAATTTTTTAAAATTATAATAAAGATTTATAATAATGATTATAAGTAAACATAAAACTGAAACATTTTTCTATAACTATTGACACAAGATATTAGTCACTTAAAACAATATAAGGACCGTACAAGAAAAAAAGTTAGAAACCTAATAAAAAAAGTCCAAACAAAAGTTAAATATAAACAAATCTGAATGTACTTATAAATGAACTATAAAAAATGTCAAACTACTGAAAGTCCATTGATAAAAGTAAATTAAAGTTAAATGACGTGAACTATTCACAAACACAAATATGTATCTAAATCCAAAGACTAGTATGATAACAAATAAATGCTCTCTTAATTAGTTGTAACGATGTCGAATCCAATCATGAGAAAAAAATAAACAAAAACAATAGTCAAACGAAAAAAAAAATATGTTAAAACGCAGAGGAAAACGTGTCATAAAGACAGAGTCATTAAAAACTAAAATAAATTAAAGGAAAAACAAAAAATATAGTAGGCAATGATTGTTAGAAGTATAACAACCCGAGACGAAAAGAAAAATAAAAATAAAATATTTTATTAATAATCGAAAAGAACGATAAAAAATAAATACAAGTTTTTGACAGAATAACCGATTGAAACTAGTTGAGGCCTACAACTATGTAGTTCCTTAAGATAGATTTTCGACCACTCTTATGGTACTTGAGATTGTTGGTCGTGTCTTCCAATATACAACAACTAGATTATCAACTACAATTGCATTTCTACAGAGATCACAAACTATTCATTTGCCTTTATCTATAAAAAAGCTAGAGAATAAGAAAATAGATCTTTTTAAATTGTTTTTGAGTTGTTTGAATTGTGTTTAACCTAGCAAATTTACACGATATTTATAGGATTTTACGTTGTGAACAATTGAAAATTTTTAACCTAACGAAGCATTAATGATAATCAAACAATCAAGCAATTTCTAAATTACTATTTTAATTAAAGGAACCTTTTAATATTTATCATTTTAATTCCAAAACAATTTTTGAAATGATATGCTTTATTTGAGGGGAAATATTTCACATTTGGGTTAAAATATCTGTAAAGCCACAGAGAGCCTAGTCGATTTGAACATTCACATTACTCACACCTTGCATGTTTGTACATATACGAACTAACAATTGATTCTACATTTTCCTCAACAAAGTTTGAATCAATTTTTAAGTCAAAGCTCCAAAATTATTGAATTTTTCCAACAATCTCTAACTTCAACATTTTTTTTAATTGTAAAGAGGTTAAAGCCTAATAACAAGACACAACTCGAGGATAAGCAGGACCATGAACGTCTGTTGTTAACAGCTGCTGAACTTCAGGAGGCGCAGACGGAAACGCTCGCAGCAAGTAATCATTGGGGCACTCGAGCTTGGTCATTCCATCGGCAACCATATTTTCCTCACGGGGAATCCAGCAGAAATCAGTATACCAGGAACGGGAACAAAGTTTGCTGATCTCTTGCGCGAAAGGAAGGGAGGTGCAACCAACGTTAGGGTCAAGGATGAGATGAACAACTTGTTTATTATCTGACTGTAGTTGAACAAGTTCTGTCCCAAAGCTCCATGCTACCTGAAGACCTATATAAATACTCCATAATTCAGCCATAAGGGGTGTCATTATGCCCAGACGCTTGTGGAAGCTGATTAGCCAATCGTCTTGATTAGTTCATAAAACCCCGCTAATTGAACTATCCCTGGAACTGATATTTACCGAAGCATCCACGTTGAGGCAAGACCGATTTTCAGTGGGTGGTCTCCATTTGAGCTGCATTAATTGGCGAGACTTCACTCGAGCAAGTGGAATACGACACAAGTTACTAAATGAAGCATAAGCAATACTTTACCGAAGAGTGTCATCTACACTAGAGCAAGTCATTGAAGATAAAGGAGTTCCGACGCTTCTATAGACGCCAAAAGAAGTTAGAGAAAAATATAGCCCAAGGAAAGTTTATACCTGGAAAAGTTCCATTATAATTAACATTGAGTAGGATTCAATTAGTCAAGTTGGATGAGGAGTAGTGTTGGGAAATAAACCCGAGTACAAGTAATTTCCTTATAATCAGATTAGTGAGAATGCGAAATAAAAGCGGAAAAATAATACCCGAAATTGATAACGGAGTTCAGCCAATTGTGCCTACGTCTCCGGACTGCTGCAGATCTTTTACTAAGAGAGAAAATTTACAGGTGTTTACAAAACACTCACTACTCACAAGAAAGCTCTCTAGTATTGGGAGAAAGAAATGATTTTGGATGATTTTGAAGCTAAATGAGCTAAGGTATTTATAGTTGAAGCTTAATGACTAATCTTGTAAATACCCTAAAGTGTGCAGTGGTAAAAATGTAATTAACCCATTTTTAATTTCAATAATTCTGTGCCCCCTTTATTGAAATTATGCTCCTCCCTTTGTTGATTTTGGGAGCCACCAACACCCCCTTATTTGACTTTACAATCTCCCACTTGAAGACTGATTTTAATCTATCTTCATACCTCAATCAATGCAGCAACATTTCTAGTCTTGTTATTCTAGCATGTCAACTGAAGCTGAAAACAACTTCAGTTTGTCCGTGGTCACCGTCTTTGTCAACATGTCTGTTGGATTTTGAGCTCCATTAATCTTTTCAAGTTTCAAAATCCCATCTTCCAGAAGAGACCGAATAAAATGATATCGCAATTGTATGTGCTTCGTCCTGGAATGAAAAGAATGATTCTTTGCTAGATGGATAACACTTTGACTGTCGCAATACAAGACATTGTTTTCTTGTTTCTTGCCTAACTCTACCAAGAAATTTTGGAGCCAAACCATCTCCTTGTTGGCTTCCGTAACAACGACATATTATGCTTTAGTTGTGGAGAGAGCAACTATCTTCTATAGTTGTGAAACCCAACTCACTGCAGTACCTCCTAGAGTATAGACATACCCTGTAGTGCTCCTTCTGATGTCAACGTTTCTGGCTAAGACAACATCTACATAGTCTGTTAGTATCATATCTCCACCTTTGAAACAAAGTACTTTGTTTGTAGTACCCTGCAGATATCTTAGGATCCATTTGATTGCTTTCAGTGTACCATTTCCGGATTATTCATGTATATGCTAACAGGTCCCACTACATTAGTAATATTTGGTCTAATGCAAACCATGGCATACATTAGACTTCCAATTGCTGAGGCATACGAAACCTTCACCATGTGTGCACGTTCTTTCTCCGTCTTTGGTGACTGTTCTTTGGAGAGTCTAAAATGAACACCTAAAAGTGTAATTACTGGTTTAGCATCTTGCATGTTAAACCTGGAGAGTACTTTGTTGATGTACTCAGCCTGTGATAACATCAAAGTCCCCGACTTTGTGTCTCTCTTGATTCTCATCCCAAGAATCTGCTTTGCAGTGCCCAGATCTTTCATTGCAAACTGCTTCGACAATATTTGCTTCAAGTTTATAATCTCTTGCATGTCTGAACCTGCAACAAGCATGTCATCAAAATACAACAATAAAATAATGAAGTTGTTGTCGAACTTCTTGATATAGCAACAATGATCTGCTTGGCATCTGGTAAAACCATTGCTACCCATGAAGCTATCGAACTTCTTGTACCACTGTCTAGGAGCTTGTTTTAAACCATACAAGCTCTTCTTCAACCTACATACCAGGTGATACATGCATCACAAGGCTCACATCAAAGGAAGAAGTAATAACTCTTCCAAATGATCCACTCGTCCAAGCATTGGAAAAGAAGATCATAATAGAAGCAGACTTACGACGACTTTTTGAATGGGATAATGATCTTATTTAGTCAATATGTCTTCTGAAGATACGGCCGTCTGTCTCTTATCTTTCCAACAGTTCTTGAATCGCATCAATCCGATATCAGGAACTCAAGATATGGCTATTTTACTGAAGACGGTGCATGTAGAAAATCTTATACGGGATTAATACGGGATTTTGTAAATATTACGAATTTTCAATATTTTTATTGATTATTTGTAATATAACTTAATATAGGATGATGCATTATCTTTTAGGATTATATTTATTATTTTATTAGGAATTAAGGTTGGTTAAAAATATTATCTTTAGTTATTATTATTTTATTAGGAATTAGAGTTAAGATATGTTTAGTTTATTATTATTTTATTCATTAGTTATTTAGGACCTTTAGAACTCAGCCCCTATATAAAGGAGGCTTTATTAAACTTTGTAATTCAAGATTTCTTTGATTAATAATATAACGAGAGTTCATTTTTGCAAGTGCTGATTGCCTTGTGCCTTCAAAGCTTCTTCTCCTAGAGTTCTTTCAAGTTCTTGTGAGGGAGATTAATCTT